CCGGACCAACGCAGATGGTCTTCTCCTGGCGGCTACATTCGTTATCAGCACTAATCGGAGGGGGTCACGTTCAGCCTCGACACTTTAAGTTATAGAATGGACAAAAAATTTTTGGATATGATAATTAAACAATATATAACTTTTAACCGTGTCGCATCCACACAATGATTACATGATTGCACTACATTTTGCATGCTGCTTTGATTATTTCATTATTATCCTTAACCCAGCCCTCATTTTTCGTCTTCAGGTTAAAAGTAGCATAGAGCTTACGGGGAGGCGGAGGCGGAGGCGATCCAGGTGTGATTGTGTAGAACTTCTGCTGTTGAAAACGTAGTCCACCCTGATTTGGAGGTGGGCATCCTGTGCCACCGATCTGCAAAGTCTTGATAATTATTTGCATCGGATTAGTATAGAGTCCCAAGCAGACCTCATGCAATTTCCTCAAAGCACCATAGCGTCTCCATGGATCAGCTTTAGAGCGATTACAACGCTTGAATGATCTGTAAAAAATGTCTTAGACTGCCTTCATACTGATCCTTAATTTCCAGAACAGTTTCAGTACAGCGCTGTTCAAGTTCAAGCGCTGTGTTGGAACTGTTCCTGAATCTACGATCAGCGCAAACTCAACCTTAAAATAGTGGCTCGGCAAAACTGAACATCCATTGAAATTTTGATGTGAAAGGTTGCTTGCACCCCAAATATGAGAACAAAGCAGGTCCAAGCACACATCCCCTGCCTCGAAAGCTGCCCCTAAACCTGTGCACAAGCTATTCTTAAACGAGCTCGGACGAGCTTGCGATTCCCCCTCGTAGAAGGCATGCCATAGTGCTACAACCATGAGGATCTAGCAACGCTATGTCTCTAACCGTGGCGGGTATTACTCCACCCGTCCATATTTTAGAATGAGAGGTCCTGGGATATGCTGACTCTTGCCGTTTTCGCGCTCTACGAGGTGGTTTTTACGCTGACTTCATGCTGACCCGCAAGTTCGGAAACGTTCCAGCTCAGCTGTGCAGTTCGAGCGCTGTGCTGGAACTATTCCGGA